AAMMAAWWAARGSMAWTYMWKGKKKTYYKRARGGKTTWWTTTTTTTTTYCTTACTATTTTGTGTAAAACCACCTTTYGAAGCAGCAACTATCAAGTCTGAAAAGCAATGGATGTTCCCATTAATCTATTTCTGGGGGAAATCTTAGTTCTAAGGATTTAACATCCTGTAAGTAAAGTTTAACCTAACAGTATTCCATAAGCAGCCTTTTTCTTGTCAGACCATTGCCTGATTTTAATATAATAAAAAGTGTGCATTAATATTTCAAAAAAAAATCACCAAAGGAGCATGTACAGATAGAGGAATCCAGAGACAGATACCTGGATCACTGCAGTGACAAAAAAAATCAGGGAGAAAAAGAATAACTACAAAAGAAGACCAAGGAGGACTAAAAAGTGAGTCTGAGGAACACCAAGGAAATGCGGTATCTTAGAAATGAAAAAAGAAACTTTTACGGAGGAGGACAAATGGGTGGTGAGAGGTTGTACTTGTCAGCCTTTTTGTGACTGTGACCAAAAGACCTGACAAGAACAACTTAGAGGTGGAAAAGTTTATTTTGGGCTCACAGTTTCAGGGGTTCAGTTCAGGGTCAGCTGACTCCAAGGCTCTGTTCCCAAGGTAAGGCATACCATCATGGGAGAGGAGCCTGATAGCCAGGAACCAGGGAACAAGTGAGAAGTCTAAGACAAAATAAATCACACTCCCTGCGACCTACTTCCTTCAGCCACACACMGCACCTGCCTACAGTTACCACTCAGCAATCCATTCAAATTATTAATCCAACAAATGGATTAATCCACTGATGATGCCACAGTTTGGTATTAAATCACCAAATTCTCTTCATTGCCTAGAAGTTAAATATCTCAATGTTGCAGTACTGGGGACTGTTTCCAAAACATGAGCTTGGGGGTGGGGCATATTTCTATATCCAAACCATAATAGAGGTGAAGTAAGATGAAGACTGATGTGATCCTTGGATTTGGCCATGTTGACACTATTCTAAACTTCAATTAAGAGCAGTTTCATTGGAGATATGGGGCTATAAGTCTAACTGGAATAGGGTTAYGAGACAATAAAAGAGGAATTAAAGACTGTTTGAAGGCCTCCTTTTGTTAGAGTGTGATATAAAGAAGACACATATTAGAACATTATTTAAAGCATGAATTGGGGTCAAGAGAAGTTGTTTTTAAAAACATTAAGATTGGGGACATATTAATATCTCTTTAGCTAAGGAGAATAATTTTATGGAGAGAGAGATTAAAGAGTGGAAGAGAGCATAATCCAAGTAAAGGCCAAGTATATTAGATACTAAGTGGGTTTAATTGCTATAAATGGGTAGATGTGTTGGCAGGGGTTGGTGAACTTCCTTTCTCTGTGCTTTTATTTTTTTCAGTGAAAAATACATCAAAATTTTCAGTTTAAAGAATGGATAGGACAGGTGAAATTATAGGTTTGAGAAGGAAAGTTTAAAAATAGTCACTTAGAAATTTGAGAGAAAACCCAGAGATATATCAAATGATTGCTAAAAAGCATTAAATATTCACTGAAGTTTTGAGATTAAAAATATTGAGTGAGTGACATAAACCTGTATGTATTTTTCTCCTGGTTCATTCACTGTTGGTTGGTAAAAAGTGGAGAGTTGAATATAAACTGGTCTGTGATTTCAGTGAATGAGGATGATGAAGTGAGAAAGGAACAAGGGAGTTGAGGGAATATATATCATACAAATATATATTTCAGTTATCATAAGAATTTAACTGATTAGGGAGGGAAGAAAGAATAWACAGTTTGGTGAGGGAAAGTAAAATGTGAGAGGACCTGTGAACTRGAAATCCTTGAGAAATCATGGGTAGGGTGAGGGAACAAAATAAAGAGCATTGAAAAAACAGGAGGCTATAATCAACCACAGTGAGATACACGAAAATGAGGTTATAGATAAGTTTATTTTCTGATGCCTAGATGTAGGATCTGATCATGAGGATAAATATCTCAGGAGGGATTTCAAGTCAAGATTACGAGAAGAGAGGCTAAGGTGTTAAAAGGTCCATCTATGAAAATATTAAAGTCACTAAAAATTAAAAGGGGAATATAACTGAGAGAGTAATAGTATCTATCAACTAAAATTTAAAAATGAGAAAGATATGCCATCCCATCTCTATGATAATCTCCTCTCATTGTCTACTGGGTATATCCTCATCTACATTTCTTCAATTAGCACCCCTAATCTGAAAACCCAAAACATGAAATGCTCCAAAACCTGAAACGTTTTGAGCACTGACAACACATTTCAAGTGTAAAGTTCCATGCCTGATCTCATGTGATGGGTCACAGTCAAAATGGGTACAAAAACACAGATAGGATGAATAAGTTCTATCATGTTGTTACACAGGAAGGTGATTGTATTCAGCAATATTGTATTATATAAATCAAAATAGTTAGAAGAGTGGATTTTGAATGCTTTTATCACAAAGAAACTATAAATGTTTGAGATGATGGGTAATCTAAACATCTTGAGCTGATCATTACACAATGCATATCCTTATAACATATATATATATATATATATATATATATA